GTAGCTCTAGGGATTTCAAATATAGATTTATTGCTACATAGATGACCAAAGTCACTAGATTGCTATAAAACCCAAATACACTAGACGATTATTACTTTAAGATGTGATATGGGAAATTAATATCTACCTTTTGTCCGGTTTGTCAATTTAGATGTCTTGGTATGGAATCTTAGTTGTTGAATGGTAACATGTCATGTACTCCGTATGTGCAGCTGCTCACCGAATGCACCTTATCCGGATCCAGCCTATCACAGTGACCAAGCTCCACTACCAGCTGACAGCAACGCTGAAGAACTGCAGCTGAAATTGCCATGTCAAATGACATTTCTGTCCCTCCCTCCCTCACCAGCCTTTGCGGTTTGCTCAATGATTAACTTCCTCTCGCCGAATAAAAGCTCTGTCTTGAAAAAAAGGAACAAGCTGTGTGTGTCTTCGCACAAAAATGATTTCTCAACCAGCAGATTAAGCACTTAATGCTGGTGTGTTAACCAAGGCGCAAACTTTAATCAAGAGGGTGGTTGCAATTTGCAAATGAGGCAACCGCAGAGGAAAAGGCTCGCACGGATGGTGGCAGTGGCACGCCGCAGCTACCTCTCCCCTCCCCCTCGGCCCTCGCCGCCAAGGCCAACAGCACAACGAGAGGGCACCACCCAAGAAATGGAGCTGAGCCTGCCCCTCCTCCTCGCCGCCTCCCAAACTCCTGTTCCGCGCGTGTAGCCGCGCCGCACCTCCCAATCCTAACACGCCCGCGAGCTCCGCTCCCCGCGCGAGGTAATAGCCCATGCTCTGCTGGCCCCCAGCGCGGATCGTTTGTTGGCGTTTGTTTCTTGAGCCTTCTGGTTTGTTCTGTTTTCCCACCATTCTTTCTCGGTGGGGTTGGGTTGAGTACTTGAGTTGACCCTCTCCGACGGATCTTAGGCTTTACTTGCTTTCCTACGATTTGGGGGGATTTCTTGTTCTCGGCTTCTTGTCGTCGGTGGGCGTTTCTTGATGTATCGAGTGTCCGTGCTGTCACCATTTGGTGGCAGGTTACAGGTTAGGTACATTGCCTTTGCGTACCATGCGGCGCTTCGGTTTGATGTTGCTGTGCCTGTGCATGGAGATCTACTTGTGTCACCGACACCGAGCCGACCTGATGATATCTTGTGGTATTTGTGCGATGACGACTTGCTTTAGAGATTGACGGTGTGATCATACACGGGTTGCGCAATGGTGTGTGCTTGGTTTTTGTACTTTTGATAGCCATCAAGTTTTATGGGCGATGTTGGACCGAATTGCTAATACCTGTGAGGAAATGCTGCTGATCAATTAGCATTAAAAACTGTGTTGCTAGGATAGTTTTGGTATATGTTTGAGAGCACCACAAGATCCAGTTTTAGCAACTGTTCTTTCGATGTGGGTTGATCTTGGAATATTTCTTGTGGTGCAGGTGTTGTTTGAGCCGCGAAGATGGCGGCGATGACTGCTTACAAGTATCAAGCTCAGGCGGTGATGAGGGACTACTTGCTAGCTGATCCACTCGTTCCGTACACCTCTGTGCTCATTGGCATTGTCCTCTGCAAGATGGTAGGTTGATTTACTGTTCTGATGCCCAAGTGGTTGACTTATGGTACACGTTTGCTTTGGGTAATCAAACTTGATGTGAATGCCGATCCATGCTTGTAGCTTACTCGTTTGCCCAGGATGATTACCTTCTTAGAGATTATTTACACCAAATGGAAGACTTTTTCTACTAACCCAAATGAGTAACATCAGCTTGTTGTACCCAATGGTGTGAAAGGCTAACTACCATGGATACGAGTGACTAGTTGCTGGCTTATTAATTGAAAGGAGACGAACTGAGCTTACAATATTCTAAATGTAATTTTTGTCTCCCATATTCTCGGTTCAGTTATTGTACTATCAATAGTTTTGCTGCTAACTGTAATTCCCTAACCAGCAATGTTGACTGAACACGTTGACTTTATCCCTTGCAAGGCTTATCAATAGAGAGGAAATGAGATGCAACCCCAATTAATGGTTCCTTCTTTTAAACCATTGACCATTGATTCTAATGTAACTTCATCGCCGACGTTGTTGACAACCTTCAGACCTCTCACTCTCACTTAAGTTGTTGTACTGTTGATGAATTAATGCTAACTGTAATTTCCTAACCAACAATGTTGACTGAGCACTTTGATTTTTGACATAAAGATATACTCGAACAAGTTTTAAACAAGTGGTTTAAATCAGTTTGCCCAAAGTTGAGCAATGCTGAGTCCACTATATCATCCATCTCATGTTGTAGAGGACAAAGAAAACATGTGGCGCCAGTTATAACCATTATCCAACTCCCGCCATCCTTTGGTAACAACAAAACAACCTTCTAGAGTAATTTCGGTATGCGACAGAATATATGGCTGCAGGCTTCTGGACTTTGTGTGCCACGTAATAAGTTCTTAATTATTTATAACCATGCTTCTAGTTTGTTGTTTTGACAAATGACACGCTTTCTCCTTCAGGCTTATGATTTCACTCGAATACTGAGCTCCTTTTATTTCAAGGGCTATACTTCATTGACAAAAATACAGCGCATTGAATGGAACAATAGGTCAGTATTGTGTCAGAGCAAGTACACCTTTATTACTCATATTCCATCTTTCATTTCAGAAACTTCATGCTGATGACCAATTATACTTGTTTTAGGGGTATGTCCAGCGCACATGCAATTTTTATCACGGCTGTATCATTATATCTTGTCATGTCGACTGATCTTTTCTCCGACCGCGTCAAGGGACCTATTACATTCCGTAATTCAATAATATCCACTTCTGCATTAGGGGTATTGAATATCATTTATTATGATACATCAGCATTTCTTTTATTCTTTATATGATGTACGTACATTTCATGTTTGAGTTAACATAGTTGTGTCCTGGTGTATTGCTTGACAGGTTTCTGTTGGCTACTTCATCGCTGATCTTGCAATGATCTTCTGGCTGTATCCTTCCCTTGGTGGAATGGAATATGTAGGTGCCAACTTAAGCATTAAACTATGTGCACAACAACCAATATTCATAAATTAGTTTGATTTAACATAACATTTTTTTTTCAGAATAAAGTTCACATGCCACCAGTTTCCCAACATGGTAGAATATTCTGAGGTGGTCTCTAGCTAGCATTATCTTATGATTATGTGTTTGCCATTTCAGGTCCTCCACCATACTCTTTCCCTGGTTGCGATAGCTTACACAATGTTGTCTGGGGAAGGACAGTTTTACACATACATGGTTCTCATTTCAGAGACAACCACCCCTGAGATAAACTTGAGATGGTAAGAAATTGAATAGTTTTTTTTTCTTGAAGTTAATTCTTAAATCTTAATCGTCAACATTATTTGATTATAATGTTGTTCTTTTCTTTTAAGGTTTCTTGACACTGCTGGACTGAAGAAATCAAATGCTTATTTGGTTAATGGAATTCTAATGTTTGTTGCATGGCTGGTATGCACCATTTAGTATAGTATTTCTTGAATTGAAAAGAGCTTTTCTTTCCTTTTTTTCACAGTTAATGATTGTTTGTTGGAAACATAATGCAATTGTCTATGTGAAGCTTTGATATGCAAAACCAAAAATTACTGGAGATATAAGAAAAGAACACATGAAATGTAGTCATATCTATTAAATAAAGTATATGGGGAAAAGGGGCATATATGATCTTGTGAGTCACTGCACCCATATAATCACATTTTTATTTGAAAATGCCTTCGTTTTATATGAGACATGAATTTTGAATTGTCTCAGCAATTGTTGTACTAGGATGTTTTTTTAACAACATCATTTACCTGGCTAACCATTTCGTAGACAAGATTCATTTTCCCTGATGTTGGTGCTGCTGGCTCATCATAGCATTTGTTCATATTTCCTTCAGGTGGCAAGGATATTTTTGTTCATGTATGTATTTTACCACATCTATTTGCACTACAGTCAGGTAGTAAGATCTTCATTCCAAATGTATTTCATCTGTTTTATACAATTATACTCAAGTATAAACGTCTTTGTCTCTTTGTGATCTGACACTTGACTATAGATAATGCAGATGCATGCCTTTGGATACTACCTGACATTTGTTGTGCCATCAGTGCTCTTTGTAATGAACACAATGTGGTTCATGAAGATCTTAAAAGGTGTGATGAAAACACTGGCAAAATGGCCATGATGGATGAAGCCAAGAGGATCCTAGAACTATCAACATGATTTGGTCTTCCTGGCATCACTGCGTGACCTTAATCTGTAAAGTTATGGATATCAGGATAACTAGAGAAAGTTAATATGTAAGTGTTAGCAAACAAGCTAGATTAGGTGAAATTGCACCGTTTTTAGCAAAGCTGGAAGTTCATGACCAGTTTGGTTTGTACTGGAGATCCAGCACGCTGTTCTGCTTACACCATCTGCGCCATGTGTATATGTAAAGAGCATTTAAATGGATGGTTTGTTCAACAGGACAATCCCGGTGCTTTGTACTTTGCATTTGTGATTCAGTAGTACCCACAACAATACAATTATCCTAAAAAATTACTGTTTTGGAAATTGACAATGCGCCATTTAGAAAGGAAACATTATTAACAGGACATTTTTCTTTTCTTGGTTGCGGCAGCAGTGAAACTGTACCTGAATTTACCGTGCTTTACAAAGTCAGTAGGAACTCACGGTGGGTATAGCATCCGTTCAGTAACCAAGCTAAAAACTTAAATGAAACTCCACCTTGTATATATGCAAATTTGAGAACTTAAGGAGGGGCACACTCAAATGATAAGAGCACAATCAACACTTTGGTAACACTTCTGTCCATGCAGTGACATTCTAGTATTGGCATTTACATGACAAACATGTGAAAAGAAACGAGGAGCAGGAGAAGGGGAGCACATCAGCCTGGAAGGCAGCCACACAGGCGAGATGGGATATTTTGCTTGACCTCCTCTGATACATTTCATAACAACACTACGAGGTTGAAACACAGCTTCAAGAGCAGCATGAAGAAGAGCTGACCATCCTCTCGTTTGGTCTCTGATTCAGAACCATTCCAGCCTGTGGGCTTGGAGCCTGTTGCCCTTGAAGCAATCTCTTTGCTGCAATGGGAACAAATGACAATTAATGTGTAAAAAGTTAGATAGTACTACAGCCTAAAGATCCACCTGTACAACTGATTTTCAGCCCATGGACTGCCCACACTAGGACGGTACTCAACTCACCAATCTCATAAAATATGTCATTCACATTGATTGCAGTTTTAGCAGATGTCTCCATGAAGAAGAGCCCATTCTCCTGGGCATACGTCTTTGCTTCCTGCACCAAACCAACACCGTGCACACAAATCAACAAAATTGAACTGACTGTAACACCCATAGGCTACATCAAGCAAGCAAGATTTTACAAACAGCATGAAGAAGTTAGCAGCATAGCTGAGCTATACTTAATAATAGCATGACTCTTAACCAGATATACTTCATTCATATTGATGCAGCAAACTAAACAAAAAATGCAGATATGCGAATCTTAGAATAGAAGTTAAGATATGTGACAGTACATCTAGTGCGGTATGATTTTTTTTTTTTTTTTTTTTTTAAAGAGCTTTTAAAGAACAAAAATAGGCAGGCTGCATTAAAATCCACTCCCACTGAGTTTATTATAGTGTGGCCAAACTGTCATACACACAAAAAAAAGCAATTACATTCTATGACACGGTGATGAGTACATGCACTGCTATAGTGGAAAAGAAGACCTTAATGACTAATTTGTTACATATAGTTTCATATAAGATAACTAATTAGTAACTACACATATTAGAGATAAGATTGTGTGGAATGAAAGTGGAAAGGAGGAAAGACAGGGAAGAAGGAATCGCATACCTCTGCTGGCACCTGCCTCGCATCTAACATATCAGCCTTGTTTCCAGCAAGAGCCACTATTGTATTCGGATTTCCTACACCAAAGCAAAGGGAAAAAAACATTACTTGTGTATCAACAACCTATATAACTATCAATTCGCTTGGTTGCTGCCCATTCACATTTTCATTAACCATACCCAAAAACTCAAACATGAAATGGGGGCAAGGGAAATCAAATGCTGAGGGAAAAATAAATTCACAACAGTGTAAACAAGGAAATGCACTAACCCTATTTCTTCCTAAATGATTTAGCAGTGCAGGAACTATATGAAATTAAAAAAAATAGCATACATGGAGCATAATACAAGGGGTAAATTAAATGAACAAGTACAGGTTGAAAAAGTTAGACTGGAGAGATTTAATTTTTTTTCTCGAATGTGCAGGAGCTGTGCATTACTGCATTAATTAAGGGGGGAAAGTCCTAGAAATACAACACACAACAAACTATTAAAGTTACAGACGTGCCGCTGAAAAAAAAAGAACAAAACGACCAACTGAACCTGCAATCCACTGCATTGAATCCATGTCAAGCTGTGCTAATGCCCTAGCACCGGCCAGACCCTAGAGATTTGCTTCCTCTCTAGCTAATCGCAGCCACTCGCAGCACATCAGGCAAGCCCCATTAAAAAACACATCCTTTTCAATGTTTCCAAAGCATCCATGTCCCAAGATGATTAGCGAGTTCAGAGCCCTCAATGGCTTGGTGATCATACCGTTGATCTTTATCCACCAATTACTAAACACTACTAACACTACTATGTCCTCCTGCCTTGAGGATTTAAATTTAAAAGAAGGCCACCAGATACACAATCAGTGAATACTGAAAACCAGACACTGGGTGATGAATGCCATATAGGTTAACTATCAACTATAAGGAGAAATGGAAGGATCATGTTTTCATTTTCTAACACAACAAACCAATTCTTGGCAGGAAAAAAAAAACTAAAATAAACGGAGTATCCTCAGTATTCATGTAGAAAAATGATGTACCTTGAGCTTGAAGTTCTTGAACCCATTTCTTGGCACGGGTAAAGGAGGCCTAAAGGTAAACACAATAATGTTTAAGTACACAGAAAGAAATGAACTTGGGTGGAGTAATTGCACTTAAGATAGGGATAAGAAATAGAACAGTTGTATGATTGAATTAGAATGCTATATTGCTTCTCAATTCCTTTATGAAGTATGAACAAACAGGGACCCGTGTATTGAGTTGGAATATGGCTACAAAATAAGAGATGTACAAACATCTCAGGGTAGAAATTGAGTTGAAATATGGCTACCAAAATAAGAGATGTACAAAATCTCAGGGTAGAAAGTGTTCATCGTTCATCGGGCAGACAAGTTAGACATAGATACACAATGATTAGAGCAGAGCACTGGGTGTATTGTCAACTATGTGTTACCAAAGTATTTTGGCAACAAATAGAAGTATGCATAATCATAAGCCACACCACTGGTACCTCTTAGACACCTACATTGAAAGGTCAACAATTTTTTGCATTACCATAAGGATGGCAAACTAGAAGTTGTCACTTGCCATATTTAAAATCAAAATCTAGTTTAAACTGTTTGCCTCACAAGTACACCATGAATGCAACCATCAGAAAACTTTTGCTAACTTCATTTATGGCATCTCAGTAAAAAAAGAAGAAGAAGTTTTAACCATTTTGCATTAACAAAAAGTCATCAACAAAATTACAAGGTTGGGAAAACTACTGTGAATTCCTAATTCATTCGTTTATCTATAAAACAGGTAGATCATTAGTGTATTACTAACCGGATTTGTGATGTCATAGACAACAATGGCGGCGGCGGCACCCCTATAGTACATGGGGGCCAAGCTATGATACCTCTCCTGCCCAGCAGTATCCCAGATTTCAAACTTAACAGTCTCATCATTGACTGCTAAGGTCTGGGAAAAGAAAGCTGCTCCAATTGTTGATTCCTACAAAGATGGACCAATGTATCAGGACAAAAGCTAACGATCCGCTCTCTCAGCACGAGAAGTATTTCAATAGGTTCACCTGGAATTCAACAAACTGTCCCTTAACAAACCGAAGAACCAAGCTAGATTTGCCAGCGCCCACATCTCCAAGAAGAACCTGACAAATCAAAATATAATGAAACACTAGCATTCGCATGACGAATGATTAAAATGCAAACTGCAAGTTCCCTAAAACCTCGAGCAACGGAATTTATTCATGAACAGGGACCATTTAAGAGTCCAGTTACCACTTACCACCAGTATCAAAGGTCAACTAAACTGATCACTCTACATTTGACAACCTTACCAGCTAAAATTACGATTACTGTTTCTCTGCGCATAAATTACCAAGACGCCAAAACACTTATCCAGAAGCATAAATTGGAGAATTCGCAAAAAAAAAAAAAATGGCATACATAAATTCTTAAAAACTTCTACCAACAAGGCAACAACCATAACGCAAGGACCTCATCTATTTGTCCAGGCGCAATAATCCACAGGCAAAGAAAGTATACGATCGTAACAACCCCACGCGCTAAGCACCATGTAGCCCAGTACCGGCGATCAAGATCCGGCCGGCCGCGATTCGATCTGCGGCGAAACCAAGAACTGAAATTGAGCGCTCGAGACAGGAATTCGCACCAGCTTGGCGTTGCGGATCTTGTTCCCGGCGTTGGCCGCCATCGAATTCGATGGCGGATTGGGGAACCGCGGCCGGCCTCCGACGAGATCAAACCGCACGCAAGGAACAGGGCTGGGGAATTTCTAGTTGTTTGCTTCCGCCGTTCCCGTGTTCCGCTGGTGCTATATGCTTCTCCCTTCGTTTTTTTCCTATAAGAAAAAAAAGTTTTTCCACTCTAACCCTTGTAAAGTTACATAAATTGCCCAGGGCCTGTTCAACCTACTGAAAAGCTTAACAAATGCAGTGCGTTAGTCCAAGCCCAATGTTTTATATTCAATTCAATTGTTCAAAAATGTAAGTTTTTTTTAGGTAATCTTTGGGTAGTTGCTCTACACGCTTGCCGCGATGATCCCCACATTATTTCAATTTGACCAGCAATATGAAAACAATTAGATAGATTGATTGAGATTGATGCTAATCAATAAAAAAATACATTATCAATATTTAACTATCTCTATTTGAAATTTATAATCTCAAAAGATAAACTACTAGTCAAAGTTTCACCTTATATACCCAGCATCATGAATTTTTAATTAAATAAAACATTTCAAAGCATTTACATTTGATTATCCTTCTAGAGCATCTTCACAGGATTCTCTTTCCTCTTTCTCTTAAAGTGCCGTAGAGAAATGAGAAAAATATGATTTGTAAATTTAGGGGATGGTTGCTCCGACAGTTTGAGAAAATGTATCTCATTTACATCCTTGCACATGAGACCCACATGTAAGTGAGTCATTTTTCCTTCATTAGTCCTTAGCTACCTCTCTCTCCCCTCCCTCCCCTCTCTCCCCCTTCTCCTTCTCCCATGGCTCGGCAAGGCGCGGCGCAAGGAGGAGGCAGCCCACCCGCGGCTTGGCATGGGGATCGGCGGCTCGCCCAACAACTCAACGTGGGGTGGGGTGGCGATGTCCAACCCACATCTTGACATGGGGAGTGACACCGTCCCCCCACCCCCTGATGGCTCAAGATGGGGGGGCCGAGATGCCAATGCGTGGAAGAAAGAAAGAGGATTGAGAAAAAAAATCTGGTTTCTCTCATTTCTTCGAGGGAGACAGGGGGTATATTTTGTGAGATTGAGAAATAGCAAGCGAACGCTAGACCAGTTGGTTTGGTTGTGCGCTTTGCACCCTGCCGATCAGAGTTCGAACCCCCTCGGGGACGGATTTGTTGGCCAGAGGAGGCGCAGTTTATCTGCGCGTTGAAAACAATCCCCTCATCTGCCCTACACAAAAGCACAGGTCTTAGGCCAGCCCAGTCTCACGGAGATCTGCGGTGCCACTGTGTATGGGTGGGGCAGAGGTTCGGGGGTTTTCTCGACCTGCATGAGAAGGTCTTCTTTTTAAGCACAATGTCCGGGGGCTGTCTTATCTATGTGGGTCGAGTTTTTTTTAGATTGAGAAATAATTTTGAGGAGAAAAATTGTAAAAGGAACTGGTGGAGCTCATCTTTTACACTAATCTTCTTTATTGCTTGTTGTAGGGAGAGGGGATTAATTTGAGACAATGATAAAGATGCTCTTAGTAGGCACTCTTGCCTCATATATGTATCTTAACAAGTCTGTTTTGTAGGGTTTGTCATCTTACTAGCTTCTTGTGGATTTTGGATTAGACCCTTACCAAACACCAACCTTGTCTAGAGACATCATGAAACCTTACCGAAGTACATCTAGACCTAACTAGATACACTTTGGTTTGTACCCGAAAGCGAGGACAAGGAAAATCAGTTCCTTAAAGTTTCTAATAAATCAGAAACTTTTCTTAACTAGAACATAATGCCTACAAACTAGGCCCTTTGTTTGAAAATGCTTTGTAGGATAGTGCCATATATATGTGCAGTGCAGCCGAGTCGCCGAGACATCAGATATTCAGAGTAACGTGATTTTTCCCAAATAAAAAAGCATCAGTCAGAGTAACGTAACGTAGCAACAGGAGCAAAGCCGAAAGAGACGGCAACAGACCGCGACACGGCTCGATCACCACCAGTCAGCAGTCACCACCGCGCACTGCACGGCACGTATACGGAGTATGAACGAAGCTGCCGGCCACGACGTGCGTCGACGTCGACGACAGCAGAGCGGCCGGCAGCTCTAGCTCCCGGTGGAATAGCTAGACGACCGGTTTTCTGTCTAGGGGCGGGACGGGAGTGATGGAGGGAGGAAGAGAGGGACCGCCGGACCGAACCGAGGGAGGAGGTCAGGACTCAGGACAGGACTCGGGAGGACGAGGCGTCGCGGTCGCCGCTGCTGTTTTGGACACGAGCGGGCAGGACGATGGGGATTGGGGGGGCAGGGCACCCCAGCCCTCCGCCCCATTCGCCATCGCGCGGCAGCGGCAGGGCTATACGGACGCGCGCGGCAGCGATGGCAGTGGGCGCGTTTGGTAGCCTGTATGAGGGCTGGGCCAGGCCGCTCGGATGCATGCGCTCGCGATTGGTTGGCTGGACGGATCATTGGGCCAGGCTCACACGCTACTCAAAGCATGAAAGATGCTGCATCCAGAGAAACGCCAGAATTGGTCGCATCCGGTGAGCCAGGCTCGCGCTGTGCAAGATTAGCATAGCTAATGACGTTATTAGCACATAATTAGTGAATATTAAGTGATTTCAAATCAAATTAAGATTGGATTAGGTAAATTAAAATTTATTATGGCATAATACCATAAGTAATTAACATCTTAGTATTTATTTTGATATATTCGTGTTACATGATTTGTACTCATGTGGAGAACTAAACAACTCCTCTTCTGAACCAGGCTACATACATACAAACTAGGGTGAGCCAGGCCCATGGACGCCGACCAGGCTGCCAAACAGGCCCGGTGTGTCCAGGGGGCTGATCCCTTTGACCGCGATCCAGTCCTCCTCACCCCTCCGTCGTCGTCGTCTCTCTCTCTCTGACTCACCTGCTCCCTCCCTCCCCTAGGACGAGCTAGCTAGCTATAGGTACCCTCTGCGCTGCGCACAGCCTGCTGCTGAGCCTCATCAACGTCAAGAAACTGATCGAGCACGGAGCACGGAGCACGACTCTCTCTCTCTCCCTCTCCCTCCCCCCTCCTGCTGTGCGCCTGGTTCCGCTGCATCAATGCCCTGCGCCGCATTGCCCAGTCGTGTTACTGTGCAGTAGGTAAGCGCCACAGTCTTGACAGTCTAGCTATCTCGTCTCCCTCCCCCACCGCGATTTTTCGTCCCCCCGGCGATGCTGCCATGCCAGCCAGCCACTCCCTGGGCCCCTGGCCGTGGCCGGGCTCCTCCGCCAGTGTCCAGATGTCTCACTGGCTGGTAACTAGGGTAAAACAAACTTTGTCCGGGGAGTGAGCTGATGCCTGATCGATGGCCTGTGTCTGAGCAACGGACTTGGACAAAAGCTTTCCTTCCCTTGTAGTGCGTCTGCCGGCCCCCTCGCTCTGTCTCTCTGATCGACGACTCTGATCACTGCTCAGTTGCAACCCATGCGGCCATGCTGCGGACTGCATGCGGTGCTGGCCGTTTCCTTGGTCCAATCCCCTTGGCCCGACTGCTTGGAAAGTTGGAATCACTGCCCTGCATGCATATATGCTCGCTTTTCTCTTGTACCCTACCCTACTCCATGCAAGCGTCGAAAACAGATAGTATACTACTACACCTATATACTCTTATATATAAATAAAAAGATCCTAAATCCGTGCATGTTTAGGAATATAGGTTACTTTTTATATAAACCTGCTTGGATTGATCACCAGTGTAATCTTGCCAAGCGATGGTTGGATTCATCACCAGTGTAATAATCTTGCCAAGCGAGGATATAAAGAGAAGTTGCTTGTTTGGATTTCTTTTTTTGCCAGGATGTCTTAGGATTTTCTTGCGAGCAATGCGCGATGGAGAACCAAAATGGATCTCCTGGCCTAGCGAGGCAAGGCTAGCAAGGCGAGGCTAGAAAAGGAACCAAGCATGCCCTTAGGGTCTCTTAGCAGCCACCGCCGCGCCCCTAAACGTACGATTCTTGGATCATGAATGCATATTCCGTATTCATTAGTTACACATCATTTCTTCGGGCAAAATGGATTATACATGCATCTTCCACTAAGGTTTTTTTTTTGTCACGGTTCCAGACTCTGGCTCAGGCAACAGCTTTTGTGGAGGAGTTGGAGGAGCCGTACTAAACACTTTAGAAAGAATAGCTGTTTTCTGGTCTATAGTAGTGGAGCCGGAACAATTTTGGGGCAAGGAGCTGGAGGTAAAAAAAAGTGGCTCCTCCTCAGGTGCTCTAGCTACTCTACAGAGAGAGAAGGTTGTGAAATATGGGGCGATGCATTTGGAGCTCGAAATAGGAGCTAAGATGCTCCTGATGTTCCGGAAGCATCACTTTTTTATGACCCAATGTAACAACTCGTTGAATCTTAGCTTGATCAAGTGGTACTGTGTTCATCGAACGGTTATCGCAAGAAAAAGATTAAACTGTGTTCATGATGCGTTGCCGTTAAACTTTATCCTACTCTTTTACATGCAAATTTGAAACAAATGACGTCGTCGCCATCGATCAAGGTTCAAGAGAATGTGTCACGTGCATGCATGCATGTAGGGCGCATACGCCGTGCCAGCCATGCAAGCACGGCTACCTGAGACGACTACTGAGAAACTGAAGGCAGGTGTGCATCCTCCTGGAGTCCGGCCTGGCTCTGCCTCCATCTCTAGATAGCTCCTGTTCATCTCATCTTACTACACACAGATGTCACCGATCCATCGATAACTAACTAGCAGCACCCGCATGCTGCATGCATGTACAATTTTAGGCAATGCATGCATGACAATGATGCTAGATTGCGAGTTGCTATATATAATCAGAAAGGCTTGCTAAGATCAACCGGTTGATTTACATGCTGTTATCAAATGTTTTTTTGGGTCGTGCGATGCGGAAGCATCGGCCTCCTTGTGTGGATTTTCAATCATGCCGGTGTGTGGGGCCCTGCCTGACCCATGGACATGAGCACGGAACACCATGCGACAATCTCTCCTCTCTCACCTCCTT